CTGCTAAACTTGGACAGTTGATGTATCTTGTGATACTTAAAGGTGCTTGGACACAGATTTGAAGTTAATATTTTCTCAAATTTTCTGCATAATTTCATGGCTTGTATGTTGCTAGAGCATTTCATACTAAAATATAATAAAAATATTATTTCATCTCGAAGTTATTGAAACTTCAAATTTCTGGACGCGTTTGATTGACACATCCTTGCACTTTCACAAATTTAGTTTTAGTCTTAATACTTAAGAAAAGTGGCAATTTTGTTGTGTATTAATGAAAAATATTAAAACTAAAATCCAGAAAAATTCAGAGTAGAAATGTTCGAAAGCAAAACCCACTCACAGTATTGTCAGTCCGTGCTCAGTGGTGTGTGCAGACTTTAACAATTGAACACACCCGGTGAATCGTAAACATTAAGAATAACAGAGCTCGTGCCCTGTTTACAAAAACAGTTTACGTTTCACGGGTGTATTCAATTTGTTAAACTCTGTACACAACACTGAGCACGGGCTGACGATATTAGTGAGGGGGTTTGCTTTCCCATATTTCTACTCTGAATTTTCTGGATTATAGATGTAATGTTTTTCATTAATACACAAAAATAGCTTCTTTTCTTAAATATTAAGGATAAAGATAAAATTTGTGAAAGTGCAATGATGTGTTAATCAAACGCGTCCAGGAATTCATAGTTCAAATAATTTCCAGATAAAAGAAGTTTTTAATTTTCGTGTGAAATGCTATTGCAATATATATGTCGTGATATTATACAGAAAATTTGAGAAAATATTAACTTCTAAGCACCTTTAAGAATTGACATATTTGGATGCTGAATCTAAGCCAAAGGTGTCAGATGTTGGATGAGGTTAAAGTTTTTTGGAGCAGGTATACCTGTGTTTAATGCCAAAAGCTCTGACCCAGGGTCATGAATATCACAATTTTCCTTGATTATCCTAACCATACACTCAGTATGACTGCTAGAAGCCAAATAGCAAAAAAAGATAAGAGTTTCCTATACATTCATTAAAGGCACGCCCTAAAAGCAGAACTCAGGGGCCAAGAATTTCACAATTTTGGTTGAGACATCCCTGTTCACCACAACAATCTGCTTGGTTTGTCTGTTAATTGTCCAGTAGTAGAGAAGAAGCTGGGGCAAGAAATATCACAATTTTAGTAGAGGCACCCCTGCTCATCATAACTATGTGCTTGTTTTGTATGCTGAATGTCCATAAGTAGAGAAGATTTTTGAAACTGCATCAATTTTTACAGGTTTAACCCAAAGTTTCCAATTATATAAATACATTTTTCTCAAAGAAAGTATAACAATCAAGAGGCCCAAGGGCCTTAACGGTCACCCAAGTACAATAATTTAGAGAATCCATAAACTGATAAATGAAGCTTTGTTGCCCCATAGCAAGAAAAATAGTATGATTAAGATCAACAAAATAATTGATCTAGTATCTTTCTATCTGTCCCCCTTTTATCACTATTACCATGAAAATTTTCAAAGAATTCACACATTTTCACTATAAAATCAAATAGAGCCCCCCCCCCCACCCCCCAAGAAACAACAGAACCCCTGGAACCACAAGTTTTAAAAATTTTGTAAAAGCATCCTTGCTCATCATAACTATACACTTGTTTTTTGCTTTATAGCCAGGAGTCGAAAAAAATATTTTGAAAGAAATTATGAATTTTTACTATATAATCACCAGAACCCCTGGCCCAGGGGCCATGAATTTCATAATTTTGAAAGAGGCAGTTATGCTCATCATAGCTATATACTTAGTTAATTTATTTAATACCCAGGAGCAGAGAAGAAGATTTTCAAAGATTTAATGCATTTTCACTATATAATCAATAGAGCCTCGCCAGAACCCCGGACCCAGGGGCCATGAAATTCACAATTTTAGAAGAGGCAGTCTTTCTAAACATAACTATGTACTTAGTTAGTTTATTTCATACCCAGGAGCAGAGAAGATTTTCAAAGAAATATTGCATTTTCACTATATGATCTATATAGCCCCGCCCTAGCACCAGAACCCCTGACCCTGGGGCTATGAATCTCACAATTTTGATAGAGGGCTCATATCACAATCATGCCAACAGTTTGACTGCTTGATGTCCAGGAGTAAAGAAGGTTTTTAAAGATTGCATCAATTTTGGTGGTTTTAGCCCCACCCCTAAGGCCCCAGGGGGCAGGGACCATGAAATTCACAATTTTTGTCCCCCTTCACCCATATATGCTATATGCCAAAATAGGTTGAGCAGTTTCAGAGAAGAAAATGTTTAAATGTTAACGCACGACGACGGACAAAAACAGATAGCAATAAGTCACCTGAGTGACTCAGGTGACCTAAAAATTAAAGGTTTAATTTATTTGCCTTTCACATGTGAATATTTGTTTTTCATTTTTGATATTGGTCTTCTGAATTCATGACATAAAAGGAGTTGAAATTATCATTTTAAAGTCAGTGCCAAGGTTTCCAAAATGCTAAACCAGTGCTCCAGGAACGAGAACTACAGTGGCCAATGTTTTTCATTCAACATACTTATTCATATCCATTTGCACATTCGTAATAAGAAATTCTAAAGAATAGATAAATGATGACACTACTACATAATACAAGAGGCCCAGGGGCCACATCGCTCACTTGAGCACTCTGGCAAGGAAAAAGCAGAAAATTAATCAGTTCAGTATTAGCAAGTATAAATCTGACCAATCACTTTTATGCTGTTCTCAAGGAGAATTTTTAAAAGATTTTTTCCTATGTATTCCTATGTGGAACTTTAATTCCCCTATTGTGGCCCCACCCTACCCTCGGGGGTCATGATTTGAACAAATTTGAATTTACACTACCTCACAATGATTCCACAAAAGTTTCATATTTGTCAAGCACAGTGGTTCTCTCGAGGTTTTTAAATGATGCCATTAATTTTTCAAAAATTTTTAATTATCTCCTTTTGGAAGAAGGCAAGGCCCTTTATTTGAACAAACTTGAATTCCCTTTGCCCAGGGATACTTTGTGGCAAGTTTGGATGAAATTGGCCCAGTGGTTCTTGAGAAGATGAAAATGTGAAAAGTTTGCAACAATGACGCCGATGACAATGGAAAAATTTCGATCAGAAAAGCTCACTTGAGCTTTAATTTGGCTCAGGTGAGCTTAAAAACTGTGGACTATTTCATGATTAAAACTTTCAAAGTTAAGAAACAGTGGCAACAAATTATAGAATGCACAAATACATATCGATAAGCATCTATAATACATCATTTGCATAAGGCTTCTTATAATCAGATTGGTAAATTTTAAAGAAATGTCATCTTGTTAAAGTTGTTCATTATTCATGTACTTGGTATATGATTAAAAACCAAAAGAAAGAAGGGCGAATAGGGCATGTACAAGCAAGCTCACATACTCTATACTCCAACATACCCTTGACTGCTACACATTTTGAATGGCATGTTGTATGCATTGAATACACTAGTAAATAAAAGAGGCAAACCCTAAGAAAACCAAATCTGCACTGCTCGAAATTGTCCTTACTAACTAGTAAGGTTCATGTAATTCTAATCAGTCGTGATGACAAACTGTTTTCGCAGTATTAACGTCAAACAAGAGGCCCATGGGCCACAATGCTCACCTGAGTAACTTTGGCCCTACTGTTCTTCAACAGATTTTCCTCCATGTAATACCTATTGTGGCCCCATCCTACCCTAGGGGAGGGGGGTCATGATTTGAAAAATATAAAATCTACACTACCCAAGGATGCTTCCACATAAATTTCAGCTTTTCTGGCCAAGAGGTTCTTGAGAAGAAGATTTTAAAAGTTTTTTCCTATATATTTCTTTCCATATATTTTAATGCAAACTTGGGATTTCCTATTGTGGCACCACCCTGCCCGGGGGTCATGATTTGAACAATTTAGAGTCTACACTACCCCAGGATCCTTGTATGTGAATTTCAGCTTTTCTGGCCCAGTGGTTCTTGAGAAGATGTTTAGAGATTTTTCCTATAAATTTCAATGTAAAATTTTGATTTCCTATTGTGGCCCCACCCTCCCTTGGGGGGGGGGGCATGATTTGAACAATTTAAAATCTACACTACCCCAGAATGGGTTCACATACGTTTCAGCTTTTCTGGCCCAGTGGTTCTTGAGAAAAAAAAAATTCAATGACCCCACTCTATTTTTCTCTTTTTTTGATTAACTCCCTTTGTAAGGGGGCTTGGCCCTTATTTTAAAAATTTAAATCCCCTTTACCCAAAGATGCTTTGTACCAACTTTGGTTAAAATTGGCATAGTGGTTCTCGAGAAGAAGTTGAAAATGTGAAAAGTTTACAGACGGACAACAGGAGATCAGAAAAGCTCACTTTAGCTTTCAGTTCAGGTGAGCTAAAAAGTTCAAAAATGGCCAAAATTCCCAGAAAAAAAATGGAACCAGATTTTCCTGTATATATGCTCATCTCCACTTCATGTCTTTAATAACTAAAAAAAACTCATGGAATTTCTTTCAATGGTTTCAGAGTTGCAATGACCAAAAAAAAAAAGAGGGGTTGTCACATTAGAACATTATACCCCTGCAACTTGTAGAGTGGATTATAAAAATAGAATTACCAACATAGCTAATATTACTACCATAAATCTGTTGTCTGTGAAATGTCAATTTCCAACATCTAATTAATTCCAAAGCATACCAAAATTTTAAATAGTGTAATTTTGAAAAACTAAATGCCATTTATTTTATTGAGCAAGTCTGCACTCGATTTTTTTCTCACGGTCTACTTTGATGAAACAAGAACCTATTCTGATAAGCAAAGGCTTAGAGTGATTATAAAGGCAGATGAACAGGCTGATGGACAGAAAAGCCAGTACCATATAATAACGCATGTAAAAGACTAATATAAAAAAAGTGTATGTTACAGTGCTGGTGAAAACATACAAAAAAGGAAGAGAATTATAGGAATATATTACGTATTTATAAATCAGATCAAGAATTCATTACAACCTATCGATAAATGTATTGTTCCAGTATATCTTTTAGTGTTATATACATTGTTTTTGCTTCTAGTTCTGTTGAAGGATGGTAATTGTCACAAATGACATCAAGAGCTTCCTTAGTGTCTTTATCCAGGTCATTTTCAAAGCAGCATTGGTCCTTAAGGAACTGAAACTTTTCATCGTTAACATTGATTTGATGAATGTAATTTCGGCACTGTGGATTGCCTGAAATAAAATGACATAATTATTAAATAACAACATGTTTTTCCATATAAAATACATTTCATACCATACCATACCAATTTCAACTGAACTCCATGTGAAAGTATTATTTTAATACCTCATCAGCAGTGGAAATAAACCCATTCAATAAAATACCAGAGAGAAACTACTGGAGAGAAAGAATGTTGACACTCTATTTTGAAACCCTCATCAAGAGCATGGTACAACAATCTCAACAATAATTTCCACTTTATACACTTGAAAATTAATTTAGTTTTAATGGGAAAACCCCAAAATTATGATATTAAATTATTTTCATTATTTCATGTCAATTATCAACATTAATTTACATACTTTTAAATGAGACTGGATGTTTATACACTGTCAGAAGAATTAAATGAGTAAATCACTGCACACAGAACATCTCAGTAGAAGTCATAAATGCATAATCATAATATAAATCATAATGCAGTGTTTGAGTGACAGCCTAAAAATCAATGCCTCTATTATCCGCGTATGAAATTTTGTGTCTAAAATTGGCGCCCTTTCCCTTAAATTGTGACCTCTCTCTCTCTTTCTGTGTGTGTGAGAGAGAGAGAGAGAGGGTGGGTGTGATATTTGTTGTTGTTCTCCTCTGTCAATGCACTTTTCCCAAACTGTATTGTGCAATTCTTATGTATTCTAAAAAATTACATACATGAAATTAACTGACCTAACATTTCTGGAACATGATAAAGGAGTTCTGGAATCCCAGGAACAACATCGCCTGTTTTTTGCTTCCTGATTCTATGGTAATTCCATGCCAATTTCACCTCCTCCAATTCTTTCCTGATAATTTGCATGTAACAATATTGAACTAATGTTCTGAAATAAAACATGGTTACATTAGTTTTTGGGGCTTCAAAACTAAATGCACTGGTTAAGAAACATTCAATAAAAGATCACGAATTTTCTTTAATGATGAAACCACACCTTCTAGGGTTATAGATTAACATAGTACATGTAATTGGGCAAAACCACATAACAACAGAGAATATTCACAAATAAATTTTGACATGGCAAAATACATGTACAGTATATGCATGTACTGTTCACCACAGGTATTCTCTTTGGTCAAAATGGCTAGTATTTAGAATAAGGAATTTGACAATCTAAATACACATACAATTAACTGAATTGGTAAGATACAAGTGTACAATGCCTTGAATAATGTTGCAGTTTGTAACAGCCTGAATATTATACACATTCCATTATTGCAAGCAATCAAGGGTTACCGTTGAAGGTCAATGATTTCTAATGTACACAAATTTCAATGTTACCCCCACTGACATGCAATATTTAAACATTTTCATATGAAAACAGTTGGATTTCTTTGGAAAAAAGGGAGAGAATTGTAAAATATCCAGTTAATGGAAACATTCATGGATGAACAGCCAGCCTACATTGTTGTTGTTTTTCTTCTATGTCAAAAGCAAACTTACATATGCAGTTTTTCCCCGATTGTAAAATGGCCATCCTTTTCCAATTCCTGAAAACAATAACAAATTTTTAAAGAAAAAAAATGGAAAACAAAAAAAACAAAAAGAAAACAACATCGGATTTCTTACATAAAATGATAGAAATCTCATATTTAACCTTAAAATGATGTATCCATCGATCTGTACATTTCCCTCGTAAAATTCCCCACCATCTCTCAATCCTCTTAAAAAATAAAAATTGAAAATTAAAGTTAAAAATTAAAGATAATTAAAGAGTCATACTGATAAACTTCATTATAAGTCCACATCCATTTTATTTTTTTTCAAAAGGACAATATTTTCAAGATCAAACTCAGTAATTATCAATATTTAAATATTTTACAGCATGCAAATTCATCTTTTGTGTCTCACAATTACAAAACTTAAACTGTCTGTACATATGAGTAAAACAATATTTAAAAGTATTCTACCTTAAAAAGGAAAACAAAAAATTGAAACCATTTATGAAAAATAAAACCAAACCTTAATACTTGAATCAGAAAATTTGGCCCAGAACGCTCCTGACACACAGAGAGAATAATGTTTACTGTGATACAGACTCAATAAACAAAAACTAAATCTATGAACTCAGACAGACATGAAAAACTTGCTGCCTTCCTTTGCACATTCATTCATGACAAACTTTAGGATAATTGTATTTAATTTTAAATAACCTCTGACCCTGCATCATAACTTTTACATTTTTCCTTGCTTCTCCTACCCATACATGCAGTCACTTAGTTTCCCTGCTGGGTGCCTAGTAGTAGAGAGGATTATAAATGCAGCTTCATTTCATTTCCACCCTATAGCCAGAATCTTTGACTGTAGGACCGTAACTATAAATATTTTTGGTAGATGCTTCCATGATCATTCTAAACATACACTCAGATTGGATGGTATGTGGCAAATAGTAAAGATTTACAAATAGTTAATGCACATTCACTACTAGTATATGACCCTAACACCAGAACCCCTGACTCTGGGGCAATAAATTTCACCACTTTGATAGAGACTCCCTTCCTTATCCTATCCATGTACTTAATTTGCCCAATAGATACCAAGAAGTGGAGAAGAATATTTTTATATTCACTATATGACCAATGTGCCCCACCCAAACACACAAACCCCCATTCCTGGGGCCAAAATTTCAGACTTTAATTAGAGGCCTCCTTGTTCATCATAACAATGTAGTAGTTTCTCTGCTAGATGCCATGGAGTAGAGAAGAAGATTTAAAATCATGCATCAATTTCTACAACTTTTTATCCAAAATCTCAGCTCCATTGGGGTTGGAGATAATGAATTCCAGAACTTATATTCCTTTTCCTCTATAGATGTTACCCACCAACTCTAGTGGAGATTGGCTCAATAATTACAGAGGATAAGTTCAGCATGTAAAAATTGATAATGGACAACAGACAAAGACCAATGGCAATAGGTCACCTAAGTGAATCAGATGACCTAAAAATGCAAGAAAGACATGGGTATATTTTGAAAGAAAAATCTATAAACCTGATTATGTGTTGATTTGCCATAAATAAAGGCTTTTTTGCAGAAAGAATCTTCATCATCTTCTCTTAAGAAGTTCTGGATGGCTGCTACAGTCCCATTCTCTGTTCCTTTTTAATAAAAAGTAAAGTATCATTTTTTTAAGGAATTATTTCACATTTATCTTAAATAAAAGGCTGCTGTGTCAGGGACCCTTTCACAAAATGGTGTAGACTTTGGCTTAATTTATTCTGACTCAGGTAAGTGAATATTCATACAGGCCTAAGTTGCGTTTCTGAAAGCGACTCGTTTGGGTTTCAATGCCTTAAACTGTGTTCCTCTCTGCTGAATACAAACCTTGCATACATCATACTTTATTTTGTTTGGAGGCTATGATTATATGTGAGAATTCAATTTTCCAAATTAAGGTACCTTTACACATGGTAAATATATAATAAAATGTGTATATCATTATGTTGGTTCAGTATATATATATACTTGATAGTAAAATTCAATTCATTCCTTTTTTTTTAATTAAGTGATACTACATTTTCAGAGAAAACACAGAGGATCCCCAAACAGAAGTGGAGGTTGAAAAAACAAAGTACTGTAATAGCACTTGAACACATTGCAGCAGAAAAGGAAGCACAATTAAGGAAACAATGCATAAAAATGATTTTCACTGGTTATGTTATATTGAATTTATTATTGAATTGATAGCACGGTTTTGACCCTCACAATGTAGGTTTATCAGGAGAGTGTCAGTTTTGACAACCTGGGACAAACCCTAGCACTACACCTAATCAAGACAGTTTGATGACAAAAGCATGAAACAAAATTAACCAAATGTTTGTGCTGCAAAGTATAAAACAGCAGAAGGCAATATTTATTAAATCAGAAATCTAAATATATAAAAGAAATAAAAATAACCTGCATCACCCCTTACAATATGTGGATATCCTGAAAAAAAGAGGTAAATGATCATTTTGTTTTAAAAATCATCAAACATTTCAATAAAATTGGAAAGGTCATCTTTATCATAACAATATAAAACACAAATGAGTATTTATCTGCTTTTACCTATAAACTTTTGAAAGAAATTCCATTAGCACTTACAATTACATTCCATTTTTTTTAGGAGAACATTAAAGCATTACCATTAACTTGTTCTAATGTGTTTATAAAATATGCTGCAATTTTCTTTGGGTTTTTATTACTGATTCCTGCTTCGCACCAAAGCACGTAGCGAGAAAACCTAATAAGAAAAGGAAATAAATGAACATTTATCTAAAAATCCTGAAGTGGTTCAAAAGTTAATCTGAGAAAATTACAATCACTTGTTGTATACAAGATTCATAGTGTTTCATAAATGTTTTCCTAAAACAAAAGGCTTTAAAAAAAAAAACAATTTACCCATCAATACAGCCACTGATGTGTATTCCGTATGGACTCAACTTATCATACTGGTCTAGAAAAAGAAGATTTATCCCACATTAATATTTCTTGAAATACTGTTTAACATAGATCACAGGCTACAGGTTGCCACTGCAGTTTTCTTTTTTTAAAGTTCTTTTATCTTTATATATAGAAAGATAAATTAGCAAGCCAATTGGCCACTTCTTGTCTGGCCTCTCCACCATAACAAACAATGTTATGTGCCTGCTTGCTTAAGGATACAAGATATTTAAGGAATCACTGTCTAGTTAGTAGAGTATGCCAGGGCATCAACGATAGTGGGAAACGTGGGATAATTTGCATAATGGGCGAAGCCCGTTATGCATAAATTATCCCACGTTTCCCACTATCGTTGATGTCCCTGGCATACTCTACTAACTAGACAGTGATTCCTTATATTTCCATTTCATAGTGAAATAAGATTGTGAATTTAGATTTTAAAAGTGTAGACTAATAGATTTGAATTACACGAGGCCTCACATGTCAATTTCAATAGTCCCCGCCCACTGACGTCAAACACAAAGACAGTCGCACGAGAATTACATGCATATTAGGCCTTCTTACCTCCTGACCTTTCGCTTGGTGAAATTTGCATTCCGGTGGAATGATCAAGAAATCAACTCTCCTAACTTTCAGAGTTATCACAGAGAAAACAAATAGAAATGGAAATATTTATCTTTTTACCCTTAAAAATAAGTAGCATCTACCTGCATATATATCAATCATTTTCATCTATAATTAAGAATGAGCATATATTTCAGTATACCATTGTTAATTGACAAAAGTATCATCTTAGACCATCTTTGTCTCAGAGGGCTTTCATCATGTACACTGTGCAATCCAGCCAACTAATATAATTAATTTACAATGACCATCAATCATGCATCCAGAGATCAAAAATTACAATCCTCCATCTTCAATACAGCCAAACACGAAATATCCTTAATGTTTACTTTTAAGGCACTTGATCAACATGTATGTTTAAGAAAATAGGTTGGGTGAGGGGGAAAGAGAGAAAAAAAATAAGAAAAACTGTCTTGGGCTAATTTGATATTTACCTATATGCCATATCCAATTTGGACCTAAAAAACAAAATGGCAAGACTTTGAAATCACATCGACTACATAAAACCCCTCCATTTAATGTTGTATAGTCATATGCTTAAAAAAACTAAAAATCAGAACTTGTCTCCCTTACATTTACCATAAAGAAAATGTTCAAAGCATAATAAAGTGCACAAACACACACACAAGACACATACCTACCCTCCCTCACACACCCTATCTCTCTCACACACACATGTAGTTAAATTTAACCTTTACTGAGGTACTGCCTTCTTTTAAGTTTATTGCCTTTCCTTCTGGACATTCCTTTAGGGTCTAAAGTGGTCATTATTTCTCGTACCAGTTTTCTGAAAGTCCAAATATTTTAAAGTGGATACATTTATTATCATTAAATAACTTATTTAACATATGCAGATAGTATAATACCCCATCCCCTCCATCCACACTATCCTGTTTGTACTTGCACCTTAAACTTAATGAATAGCAAGCATTCTGAGAGTACTGCACAAGCAAGAAAATTCTGATGAGAATACATGTATTTGTAAATTTGTTTTCATCTAGAATTATTCTGAGAATTAAACCATACAGAAATTTCCTTCTCTATTGGAGGAAGGTCTTAGTTCCTAAGGAATGAAACTACACATAGTTTCATGCAAACTACCTTTTTTTTCATTTGCACATTCTATCAGTTATTTTGAAATTATATAATATATGAGGACTGATGTGAACTGTGGAAACGACAAAGAAGGAAAAGGTCTTTTCAAATATCTTCACTATAATTTAAACCATTATAATAATGTAAGAATAACACAAATGCCTAAATGTATACCTGGTAATTGGAAAATGTGTACTGCATATGCATTACCTGGTTGTACTGTGCGAACACATAAAAATCCAATTTAATTAGAAAGAAAATAATTATTTCACTTAATGTTTTCTCGAGAATAAATTCCTTGAATTAATTGAATTGCAATATTGAATATAAATTTTAAATGATCATGAGCATCATGTCTATTTGAAGGATAAACCTGATTGGGAAAATGAGAAGTTCCAAATACATGTAAATAACTTCATCATATGTTTCTCATTAGGTAGTGACACATCAAGTTTCAAACCAATTATCCACACCATGTCAAGTAAAAATTGTGGAAAAACAAATTAGGGATTAAAAACAGCTAGTATGTATGTAAACAACAAATATAAATTACCTTCGAACAATGTATCCATAAATAAATCTCAATCTAAAGAACACATCGGATACACTTCTATCTGGCTTTAGAGACATTTCAAGCTGCAATTAAAATCTGTGAAATTATTTCATAAAAATTGATTTTTTTCATTTTAAAAGGTAAAAAAATGCTTTGAAGTGACTAAATTTTAATAATTTAATAATATTTAATTGCAGTTCCATAACTAATCACACAATTTTCTAAATAAAATTACTGAAAATGATTTAACTTTTACCTGCTTTTACTGAGCAATTCAAGAATTCAAAGAAAAAATACATGTCATTCAAGCATCAAACTTATTTGTTTGGGGGAGGGGGGTTATGATAAATACTGTATATTATTCATGCCAAAGTAAATGTTTACGAAATAATCAATATTTACAAATTACAGACCATGTACTATCATATATTAGCATGCATATTATGAAAGTTAACAAATTGCTATAAGACATAAAAGTTACCAGTATAGCTTGTAAAATATCATCAAAATTTGTAAGTTGCGCAGATCCTCTCCTGTTGTTTAAGTGTAACTTGGGAATAACTTTCCTCTTTAGATACTCAACACTGTAATAAAAATGATCCAACAGGAACAGATCTTTTAATTTTAATACACTGTAATACATGAACAATATTATAATCCATTCAAAATTTCCTGAAATTTATTTATTTATTGGCATGGTTTTTTTTTATCAAATATAAAGGATCTGCATGTAATTCAGTGTTGAAACAATTCAATATTATATTAAAATGGTTTAATTCCTTCATGCAAAACATTTCTTGCATAACTACATTTAGAAATTCAACAAATATTTCAAATTGTACTTGTCCAAAAATATATTAAAAGTAGAAAGTCTGGGAAAAGAATTACCTGTAATGTTGATTATGTTTTGTTTTCAATAAAATGGCAATTTCTTTATGTGGCAAACCAAGTCTATGATAAAACTCAATATACGATTTTAAATCTGCAATAAATTGTACATAGAATTATTGGTAAGTTCTTAAATTGCTGTTTGTTGTTTATATACATGTATATAGTTAATACCACATTTTTCTCTTAAGAATTCAACATGGCATAATCATTAATTGGTAATGAAATATTATAAAGGAAAACAATAGTTTCAAAATGTTACCTTCATTCATTGTCAATATTTTCTTATTTCTAATATGAAACTTAGAGAGAAGATCCTGAAAAAAAAAAAAAAAAAAAAAAACTTTAAAAGAGCTGTACATCAGTTGACAGTTTTTGCATCAAATGCAGCAGATATCTATATTCAGATGCACACTGATAAACCAACTGCATTTCAAGAAAATATATATATATATATATATATATATATATATATATATATATATATATATATATATATATATATATATATATATATATATATATATATATATATATATATATATATATAAATTAAACTTCCATGTAAATTAGTTGAATCTGATTTGTCGAGAAACATCTGTTAAAAAACACCATTGCCCGCTGAATAATGAAGCCACGCCCTCCAGCGCAGCATGTCAACATTGCTTGACAAAGGGTGATATTCCAAAAAATATGGACTGCTCAGAATTTATGCTTGCAAGGTTTAATGTAATATGTATGTGTATAAAACATTCAGTATAATATAATAAATATTGCCTGTAGTTGAGTGTAACATTAAAAATTTTCACCCCTCGAAAACCACCATCAACCTCGGCTGCGCCTCGGTCGAAAATGGTTTTCTTGGGGTGAAAATTTTCAATGTTACACTCAACTACATGCAACATTTATATAATAACCAATTTCAAGTCCTACACAAACCATATTCATTAAGATAATATTTTTAATGACACACAAATATTACAGGGCACAAACACAATTACAACAAGACCACAGTCAAGCTAAGCATTCTCTCATGCAAAAATTTAGAAATGTTGTTCAAATGTGTTCTATATATTTTCTAATATAAACCTACTAAAAAGCAAAAACATTTCTCTCTTTTTGAAATTTTGAACTGGTTAAGAGGTCACATTTTTTAGGTCACAATGATCATCAGACAAGCTTATTGATTGACTGATACATTGTTTCTTAAAACACTGTTCATACTTTTTAAAGTTATAAACTGCAATGTTAAAATTTCATCGGGATATGAAATTTGTTGTTATATTAACAAATCTTCTGAGAAGACCTTCATGTTTCACAGGATTTGACCGACCAAGTTTATATCTCGGTGAACTTTTTAACAATTGTATTTATTTATTATGTGAATAAAGTTAAATCATTGGTTCTTTGTGTTCGCTTGTTAACTCAGACATATATACCCAATATCTGATATCTTAAATAATTCACCCATAACTATGGATATGAATAGGGCTTGACTTATAAGATTGCTAAAGAGGTATACAAAGTGAAATGATTTTAAGTGCTGGGATTTTTTTTTTAATTTTGCCAACAAGCATTTTGTATGCTTGTAATACATAAGTAACACAACCATATACAGTTGAACTTTGATATCTCGAACTCCGATATCTCGAATACCATGGATATGTCGAAGTGATGTGGAAGTCCTAACCACATGTTCTTTAAGTATTTTATCCTTGATATCTCGAATCCTCGGATATCTCGAATTTTGTTCTCAGGCTCATCAGGTTCGAGATAACGAAGTTTGACAGTACATACAATCAGCAATGATATACTCCATTGCAATGAAATAATAATAATTTGCATTATGAAAGACACAATGATATTTACAATAAATTTAATAACAAATGTAATGGAAGTTACTTGTTATGCAAAAGGAGCGGCCAAATTACCACCCCCGATAAAATACTCCAGTTAACGATACTAAAATCCAAATGATTACAAAAAGTATTTCAATGCTGCAGATATATAAGTAATAATTGTAATGTAAATGGAGCGGCCACATTACCGCCCCCGATAAAACACTCCAATTACAACACTAAACTGTTCATGAATACAAAATGTTTTTCAATGTTACATGTCTATAAATGTAATGCAAATATAATGCAGCAGCCACATTACTGCACCCAATAAAACAATATAAACATTTAAAACTGTTACTAGAGGAATACATATTTCAAAGGTACCGGTATATACATGAAGAGGGATTTTTTTTTTACGTCTGTTACAAACAGGGTTTATATGATTTGCGTTTATATGCAATATCAATGCACAAATTTGCTGTAGTTATCAATGCAAAATAATGCCTTTTATTTGTCCTCTTCTTGAGTTTGTGAGACTACAAATACTGTCGGAAAAAGTTACTGTGACAGTTTTATTTACCTCAAAGATTGTTTGAACAGTTGTTAATCCATCTATACCAAAATATACATCACATCCAGACATGTGCACAGCAACTGTATACAACTTGTCTTTTTCTAAAGTAACACTGTTTGCAAAAATAAATGAAAATTCACACTCCTCAGTCAACTCTTCACGTATTTTTTCCTTAAGGAGAATATTTTCATCACAAGATAATGACACTTCAACTAAAAGTGAGACATTGTAGTTTCCATACAAAATGATGCCATGAAATTGTATATTTCTATTTACAGAAAACACAAGTCTATCACCATTCAATTCATCACACTTCCAAGTATTGCTTGGACTTTTTGAAAAAAATCTAATGATCCTAATGTCCTCCTCTGACACACAAGCACGAGATTGAAAAGCTGGACCAACTGTGTCCTTACAAACACTCAATGAATTCAAATACAACATAACTTTCATTGCAAAATCATCACTAATTATGTTTCTATAAACAACATTTTCAATAAAAAAAGTAGCAGACATTCTACCAAACCTGATATTTGGAACAATTTTCCTCCAAGTTTCTGAAACGTTTCTGCATTCTGAATTCATCCACTTTACTATCAACAAAAATAACTTCTCTTCATGAATACATAATGTATTTCGTTCAAGCAGCAAATTAATCAAATCTACAGGATACTGAAAAAACATTTCATTTGCAGGACTATTTGATAAAATGTCTCTGGCAAATTTGTCAATGTATAACAATGATGATAGCACAACATTTTTCAAACCAAATTTGTGTGCAATATGTAAAACAAGCAAAGCTTTATCAAAACATATGGATTGTTGAAGAAAATCTAAACATTTCTCAGACAAATCTGAAACCATGTAAAATTGAGCTGCCTGTAACATATCTTCAACATTCTCAAAAGATAAATCAATCTCATGTTGGTACAGAAATTCTATCACAGATCTTGTTTGTGAAGGCAAGAAATCATGGCAAATAACTGTCCTTTTTGATTGCTTGGGGTCCCAGTTTTCATTTAAACATGTTCTAAACCAATCGCTGCCCAATATGAGCACTGTCCTGTGTGCATCCATGATACTTCCATCTGATAAGGAAATTTCTAAATCACACAGCTCTTGCTGATGGAAGGCTTTAACAAGTTTTTCACCAAGTCTTGCCATTACAGCTGTGATAAAAGTCAAGATATTCCTTTAGTCTAAATAAATGTCATTTGTTTTTGTATGTCTGTTTCGAGCAGTAGTTATAACTCTGTGTGTGTGTGTGGGGGGGGGGGGAGGGGGGTGAGGGAGGGTGTGTTTGTGTGTGTTATTGGACAGTTCTTTGGCAATAGAATGCCAAACTGAAAATACCATATTTAGAATGAAATGAGATGTGACAAACATTGGAGTTTTTTGTTTAATGGTGTACACTTAAATAACTTGCTAGTAAAAAAGTTTGAGTCAACCATGACATTTTCAAAAAAAAAAGACCTGTGTATAAAACAAAAACAAGGCCCGAGCCTTGTTTACATAACTAACAATTGTGATCACTGCTTCTTGGTTGTAACTTGCAACTTACTTTTGAATTTAGGTTGACCATTAGTCTAGAAATACCAATATCAATACTTAAAAGAAAGGAAAAATAACATTTTAATACTTCCACTTCAAATCGCAATCAGGCCCCTTTCAGTTGTTCCATCAGCACATGTTTTCTCTTTTTCAAAATACTGAGGCATTTACCTGTCTCAATTTGTCATTGAGCAAATATGTTACCAGTTTCATAAATACTGTATTTATTGCAGAGTTAGATCTGCAAATTTTTCAAATAATCTTCTACCTTCATAACATGAATTCTTGCAATTTTTCAAAGCACACCAATATTTCGCTCACATTTTAGAATTTCAAGAACTAGGTCAAAAAAAAAGATAGTATTCTGAAATGAACTGTAGAGGGGTATATTTACTTAATACTAAGTTCCCCATGTACATGCATTAACAGTATTTGTGACTGACCTCCAGTATTAATGTAATGTACTCCTCATCAAGGCCTCAAGTAGGTTTCTTCGCAAAGTTTGCTAAATGGATCCTCTATGAAGCTAAAAGTACATGTATATATTTATATATGGTAATTAAGTGGTTACAAGAAGCAAGATCATTGTTTAAATGCTGGACAAAAAAATTAAATAATTTTCTTTAACCAGACCCTCACCCCATATCTCTCAATTGAACTGTAATGTGATGACTGTTGATTTAAATTTAATTATCAAAAACTTTATATTTGCTCATTTGTAATTGTTCACTTAAAATAATATTTATTTCTTTTGTTTATTCATTAAGAGAATCAATTACAAATAAAGTCCCATGTACAATGTGCAATTTTCTGGCTCTACCACCCCCCCCCCCCCCTCCTACAACAACTTTATGATTTTCAAAATATATGACATCTCATCTCTTCTAAGTTACTCACCCCCTCCCCCCACCAATAACTTTATGAATTTCAAAATACATCTGTCAACATCTCATCTCTAAGTGAGAATTTACCAAAACAAAATTGGAGAGAAACTTAATGTTGTTTTACTTCAGAGGTTCTTATGACAACTGTCAAAAATATACAATGCACATGCATTTCTTTCTAAAATCAACTTTGTTCTTTCAAAAAATTCAAAACATGCAGATATTAATGAATGGGGTATTACAAATCACTTCCTACATCTTGATTGCAAAATATTTAAATAACAAGTTTAAAATAGATGTTTGGTTTTGACATAGTCTCTAAAAAGGAAAGAAAAAATAATATATATACATAGAAGGATGAAGCCTCCCCCCATCCCGTGCACACTCATCCCCAATTCACCACAAAGTTCTATATTTGAATGAGAGTTAATTTTTTTTTATGTATTGTAAAACAACTTGATTCTAAATGTCACATAAAATACCATATGCCTTCATGTTCAAAACTGCATATAAAATAAAAGAGTCTGTGCATTTATTTTAATTGTATACAATTTATAATTTGAATTTCCTTGATGAAAAACTGCAGAATGCCTTTGAGTGTTGGAATGCTGTTCATACAATTTATTCAAAGGAAAAATCACATAAAATAAATATTTACAACATCAAACTAAGGTATTCATTAAGATTTACAAGGGAAAAATCACCTATACTTACCTTACAAACCGGGAGGCTGGAACCTAATACACATTTTAGCGGTACTGTTTTTCAATGTTAGGGAAGCAGTTATATATTACGATACTAAAGTGAATGTTATTTTTTGAATAGCTTAATAAAGCTATAAAGCTTGATAAAGCTATATGTAGCTTTTTCTTGCTATACACCTAAAACAAGAAATAGTGCTGCTTGATTCTGGTTTATATCATTCGTGAACATTTAGAAATCATCAACCCTAAAAGACATATAGTCTCTATAATATTTTATAAATCTATTGGTATAAAAAAAAATGACTTTAAGAGAAAATAAGATTAATAGTTATGAATGTTAATTGAGATTCAACATGTTCAATACAAAATGAAGATTTCACTCGAATTTCCTCGATCATGAGAGACTCGCTTCAGTTTTGGGAGAAAGTAAAATAACTGCACAAACTCAGGTATAACTTACATCAAAAAACAAGAATTCTTCTCATTTAATGAGAGTTAGTTACATTAAAACAAACAACAAAAAATATTATTGATATATTACTTACATCAAACGTAATGATCACGACTCAGACCTACATCAATTTGAATGTAATGACCACACCGCATCCGCGTCCTTAGAAATCTTGGCCAAATCTCGATCTCTTGAAATCTTGGACGGCCAAATCTCGATCTTCTGAAATCTTGGCCGTTAATCTCGTAGAAGCTTGGGAATTAATGATCGAGGTCACCCGAAATCTTGGCAATGTACAGGGTCGAGGGTGTACATGGCCAGGGTTATCATGGCCAGGCCTATACGGCCAGGGTACGCGAGCAAAATGGCCAGGCTAGGCTATGTATGGTAGAGGGTTATGGGGAACATGGCCACGCCAAGACATTATTATGCAAGACCAGGTTGAACATGGCCAGCCAGGATAGCTAATCGTCGAATGCAAGATGCATGATAATATACATGGCCAGGGTGAAGATGGCCAGGCCATGTTTAGAAGCGTGGGATAGGCATGGTGCGAACATGGCTAGGCCAGGGTAGTACATGGCCGGGCTAGGCTGTGTATGGTCGGGGTAAACATGACTAGATGGGATGGCCATGCTGCAAACATGGATCGGCCAGGTTGTATACGGCTAGGCCATGATGATAAAGCGTGGGGTGTCCATGATGCAAACATGGGAAGGCCAGGGTAGAAATCATGGGTGGCCAGGGTTAAAACTATAGATTATATAGACCCTGACCCTGGGGGTCCCCTATGGCTTCAAAGATGGGAAGGCCAGGGTAGAAATCATGGGTGGCCAGGGTTAAAATTATAGATTATATAGACCCTGACCCTGGGGGTCCCCTATGGCTTTCCATAATAACGAGTAATTTTCTTTTATCATTCATTTTATAACGCAAGATTTTTCACAAATCGAAGTTTCGATAAATTAACATCTTGAATCGAGGGAGTTTTTCAAAACCGGAAATGCTATTGTTTAAGCACATCCGTGGAAAAAGAGGCTTGTCTTATGGGTAGTACATGTATCAACTATACGTATGAGATAAATAGAGGAGATTTGCGTTATCCAGCGAGTTGATATGGTGTATATTCGCTAGGCTTGCAGAGCGAATTTTCACCATTTCAGCGAGTTGGATAAAACAAATATCAAATCCCACAACTATAGATGTTCTATTTATCTCAAACGATTTTCGTTTTTAACTAAATTTTAGATAATCCTTAGAAACTTTGTTGATTGAGATTTCTATGGAAAGCCATAGGGGACCCCCAGGGTCAGGGTCTATATAATCTATAGTTTTAACCCTGGCCACCCATGATTTCTACCCTGGCCTTCCCATCTTTGAAGCCATAGGGGACCCCCAGGGTCAGGGTCTATATAATCTATAATTTTAACCCTGGCCACCCATGATTTCTACCCTGGCCTTCCCATGTTTGCATCATGGACACCCCACGCTTTATCATCATGGCCTAGCCGTATACAACCTGGCCGATCAATGTTTGCAGCATGGCCATCCCATCTAGTCATGTTTACCCCGACCATACACAGCCTAGCCCGGCCATGTACTACCCTGGCCTAGCCATGTTCGCACCATGCCTATCCCACGCTTCTAAACATGGCCTGGCCATCTTCACCCTGGCCATGTATATTATCATGCATCTTGCATTCGACGATTAGCTATCCTGGCTGGCCATGTTCAACCTGGTCTTGCATAATAATGTCTTGGCGTGGCCATGTTCCCCATAACCCTCTACCATACATAGCCTAGCCTGGCCATTTTGCTCGCGTACCCTGGCCGTATAGGCCTGGCCATGATAACCCTGGCCATGTACACCCTCGACCCTGTACATTGCCAAGATTTCGGGTGACCTCGATCATTAATTCCCAAGCTTCTACGAGATGAACGGCCAAGATTTCAAAAGATCGAGATTTGGCCGGCCAAGATTTCAAGAGATCGAGATTTGGCCAAGATTTCTAAGGACGCGGATGTGGAGGCATCGTGTTTATTTGATGTAGGAGGCATCGTGATCGTGGTCATTACTGATTACATTTAATGTAAGTAATATATCAATAATATTCTTTGTTGTTTGTTTTAGTGTTAATAACAAAAATTCTTGTTTTTTGATGTAAGTTATACATGAATACAGTTTATACAGTTATTTGACTTTCTCCCAAAACTGAGCGAGTCTTTCATAATCGAGGAAATTCGAATGAAATGTTCATTTTGTATTGAAACTCAATTAACATTCATAACTATTGATCTTATTTTCCCTAAAATTATTTTTTATATCAATAGATTTATAAAATATAATTAATAGAAGCTATATGTCTTTTAAGGTTGATGATTTCTATCAATCATTGTATCTTCCTTTTACTATTCCCAAATTTAAAATTCAAATTGTCCTCTTAAGCTTAGAGCTAATAGGAATATCCACTGACCAAAATTAATTTTCAAATATTCGGAACTACTATCTATTTATAATTTGTTTACTTTTGCAGGATGTTCTGCATAGAATGTGGTAGTCACCTAGAACCCAACAACAAGTTCTGTGGGGAATGTGGCACTGCTGTAAAGAAGAAAAGTATGTATGGGGTTTAAAGAATAATTGAATTTTGAAATTAAGTGCCATTTATTATGAGCAATTTAGAAAAAATAAATTGCTTAACTGCTCAAAAATGATTATATATAGATTATATGTGCTCTTACGTATAATGATACATATGATATCTATAGTCAGTCATATTCAATATATCATATTCCACCCAGAGCACTAGCAAAATTATTATGAAAAAAGTTCAGTGATTGGGAAGGTCATAAAGGGCAATGGGACTATGGTCCAACTGTCAGAGTTTTTAATGGGCCATTTTGAAAATGAATGGGCCATCCATATATTTTGATGGGTCATTTTAAGAAAAATACAAATTTTTAAATGACAAACAAATGTGAAATACAAAAGGAAACCAATTTCTTTATTAACCAAATTTTATATTTCATGTATGCCGTGTAGCACATTTAAAGGAACCCACAAACAGTATAATTTTGTGTATTTTGGGTCAATAATGTCAAAATTTCAATTAAACATTGAAAATGAATGAGGTAACGTACCTTTGTTGCCCTAAAAAAATGCTTCATGTAACAAGAAGCAGTTTTTGCCAGGTTTTAACCAGTCATATTTGTAACAGTTGTATTTACATGACTACATTTAAAACAAAAGTAAAACAAGCAAGAAAGTCGTTCACAATATATTTCCAAATAACATCGCTGAAATTTGGATGTGCACCTTGGCGACACCACTGGTTGATTTAATGCGCCAATTTTCACTTCATTGCAACTATGCTGCAAACCCTTCTCACTCACTGAAAGTTGCAAAATAAATTTTGAAAAGATGCATATATAGACAATTGTGTGACAAACTTTAATAAGCATTGGTGTCTGTTATAAGTATTACAAAAACAGTCTGGGATGAAGAAATATATTTATTTCAGTATAAAAATGCTGTAAAATATAAAACAATTTTAATGTTAGAGATGAAAGATGAATTTTATGTCCATGTATTGACATATGTACATGTTCATAGACAATAAAAATGATTTTTTTTTTTCATGTTTGCAGCTGTTGATGTTGAGTGCACACCAGTTGCAAAAGGCGAATTAAAGTTAATGGAAATTCAGTTATATAAATAATTTGGTTTTGATAAGGATGTTTGAAAATGTATTGTATTAATGAAATGGATATTATTGTTTAGGCAGGGTTGCAGATACTCGTGATATCACGGTACCAAGTGAAGGTAATTCTTATAGATATTCAGTAGATAGATAGATAAATGGATAGATAATGGATGAATGGATGGATGGTAAGCATGTAATATGTCCTCCTAGATTGTAGAAAAATTACTTTATTTGTTGTCATTTTTAAGCGGAACAGAAACCAAGTGGAAGTGGGTCCACAGGCCCTTTCAAAAGGATTGAAGATGAAGGTAAATAAATTTTATATTTAACTGAGGACATACAAGTATTATGATATGCTAAACAACAATGTAGTAACTAGAATTATGGTAAACTATAGCACAGGCAAAAATTAAAACATGTTCCGACTTAAAACATCCATATGTAATTCAGTATCTATAACTGCAACAAAACATGTGCAAAATATAAAATGGACAAGAAATTTGCCTCATACACTTTGGTCAGCAATTACACTTAAATCCAAGTTTGTACAGAAATCAAAATATATATTTTTGTAAATATTTAGTCCATAATTATACATTTACAAATAAATGAACTGAAAAGACTGAAATGCACATGAAAGCTACTACATTTATATACAACTGATTTGTAAATTGACAGATTTTCTTTTTTTATGTCTATGAAGGAGTGAAGTCTAAACTGGATTTTTTGAGGGCAAAATTCATCACCAGTAAAAAGAAGATGATTGGTACCACCTTCTCCAAAGAGAGTGAGAAACCAGAGGTAAAGACTTGAAATTAAAGACAAATTAGTTATATACAAGTGTTTTTGTCACCATTATTATTTGCATCATCAGTTTATTAGATTGAAAAAAATTTGGACCTTCTATTTTGTGTGTGGGTGTTAAAAAAAAGGGGGGGGGTGGTTTTCACATGAATCACTCAATTAACCTATTGCCATCTATGTTAGTATATGGTGTGTTAACAAACATTTTCGACTCTTCTCTGAAACAATTGATCACTGAAAATTAACGAATAAAAAATACACAGAAAATTAAAGCTATCATATACTTTTTTTTCTGTTAATAATTTTTTTCTTTTGGACTCATTCTTGTCGGAATGTTTCAAGATGCTAAATATATTTTTTGCAGCTGATTTGATGCATTGCGTCAATTTAAATTGTTATATAATGAATTGGGTTCTCTATTCACTGCAATTTTATTCCAATGTCATATTAAAGTCAATTGAGACATGGAATTGACAACCAGGAAACAGAATGCTATTTCTTTGGTAACAATATCAAATTATTTTGGGGTAGATGAAGGGAAAAAGCCGAATGTTTTGTGTGCGATTAGGATGTTATTTAATGCATGGAAGCCTGTGTTCAGTTTGTGTGTTGTAATGTCTTTTCAGAAGGCTGTCATTAAAAATAAGTCAACACTTATTAAAGAGTTCTTCTGATTATAGTGAATTGTTTTGTTGGTTTGATAATAATGATGTAAAATGGTATGTCCCCAGCGTTTCATTATAAATGTGTTTTATTGTACTGTTATGAACCTTTGTAAATATCAGAAATGGAAAAATAAAACATTAAAATGTTCAAACCAAATCATGACAATGTCCAATTGAATTTGATTTAAAATAGCTCAGTGTCTAGTGCATTTCTGTTGTTGTTGGTATGTATTAACAGAGTTAATTGGTCTATTACTTGTAAATTATTTAGGCTCCCTACTTCAACATATTTGATTTTGAAAAAAAATTCTTCTTAAACACCAGTGTTTAGAAATTCGCTTCTTGGATCAAAATGAGAAAAGGATCCAACGATTGTTCAATGGAGTGGATGCTTCTATGATATTGAGAGTTGAGAAAGATTCTTCGATGGACAATTGGATGCAGAGTGTGGAAAACAAGTTCAAGACATCATTCACAATGGTACCTATGAGGTTGGAGGATAAAACGTACACAGAGTTACCACGGGACCTTAAGTACCAAGAATTAAAGAAGCGTTCAAAGGGGAAGAGAAAGTACCATGGATTTTACGTTAAAATATATGCAAGTAAGTGTGTGTGTGTGTGTCCATAAATGCTAAATTTATAAATTATCAATTGTTTTTTTTAGTAGAGCCCTCTGAATTTTTTAGAAACGCTTGTTTTAATTAAGATTTTGTATGTGGATGCCCAGTAAAATGTAAGAATTTGGGTTTAATATTTGGGGCATCATTAATTATTATTTGTGGATGGACAAAACAAGTCAATAATTTTAAGTTTCAAACAATTGAATTACAGCACGAGGAAATATTGTAAAAAATGTCAAAAAAGTAAGATTTGTTATTTTGTTCCACTTGATTGATTTTGGTTTGTTTTAACTTTGAAATGAAAATTTTTCTGAACAAAGGTGGTCTGTCGTGCTGATGTATTCAGTATTAAACTTTGAAAATTAATCATGATATCAATTATTCTCAGATGAGAGTTAATACCTGGTAGCTATAAAGTTGATATTTTCTGTATGTTCTGGGGGGATCAAACCTTAATATCTCCCAAACTTTCAAGCAGTAAATTGTTATTATACCAAACAACCTATTACTAAGTTAAGAACTGCGAACGATAGTATTGTTCTCCTGCCTACATCCAAGTCAATTTTCAAAAGTTAACACATTTGAATGATTTTTCAAATCTATAGAGATATTTATATGAATTTTCATAAAACGTTATTTCTTTGGGAAAACAAAGAGAGATAACTCTATAATTTTGGGAAAACTTGTGTTTTTCACTATAGAAATCAACGGAAAACGGAAAATATTTTTAAAACATCTTTCCCCCCGTGAAACAAAAATTCCTTTTTACGGGTGATATGGACTGTCATTTCACAAATTTGTACCGAAGCTTTTTGTGTTTCACGGGGGGGGGGGGGGGGGACATATGTTTACAGACAAAAAACAACAAAAATGCTTATTTTTTCACCAATTTCAAAGGGGTTTACAGCTAAAACATTTTATTTTATCAATAATATATGTTTAATTTTATATGAGTAAAACATAAGAAAAGATTTAAGGAAATTTATTCATATCCAAGTATATTTTAAAATGTGTTCATGCTTAAGAGTCCGATTTTAGTGAAAAATATCGTCTACCCCCTTACTTAAAGAGCTGGAATTAGGGGTAATTAACTATTTAACACTGGTATTAATATTATCAGTCAATTACCATTGAACTGTTCTTCGCATTCAACAAAGATTTTACGGCCAAATTGTCATTAATATTGAATTAAATGGGTGTAAAATGTAGGCGGGAATCGAGAGTTAGCGTGCGTAGTTCTTTAAACAGAATATTTCATTTTCCTAATACTGTAGATCACTTAATTTTCGCAACAGCTTATTTTGGCGAGATAGTAATTGACACTTTATTAGTGAGACAAAGTTTTCACGAATTGTGGTTAGTGCTCTATATAATCTTAAAGAATACTAATATATGCGAAAATGAAATTTTTGTGAGCACTCTGTCTAGTATTATTACGCCAAAACGAAGTTCCCGCAAATAAAAAGTGATTTACAGTAGTTTTCCAACCCTACTAAGGTAAAAACACAGTGAATGTTTACCTTTTTATGTTAATTTGTCCTTTTCTTTCATCATTTGAATTTATTGCTGACTTTGTTTTCTGATATAAGGATTTTGGATATTCAAAGATTTTAGATTCATTTGTTTGTTTACATCAAATGATGGTCACATGTGACTTACAAAGAGTGGAATATGATATTTATTCCTTGGGAGACTTGGTGTTTTATTCACCCTGTCACATGACTGTCTAGACTGATAAAATGATGCATTATGAAAGATTTTTCTTGTTTTATGAACATTATAAATTATCAGCATATAGGAGCTAGGGAAGGAAGGAGTTTCCTATGTAGAGCTAGAATACCAGAAATACATTTTAAGTAAAAATCATTGAAGCCTTGTTGTAAAACTGTAATAACAATTAAGCTTTGGATACTGATGTACATTGTTCATTTCAGTTATGTTACAGTATACAGATATCATTAGTCACAATTTTGAATAGAATGCTTTGGTTGGATGTCTAAATTTTAATATATTTTTCAATCTTGCAATTTTGTTGTATTTTCTAAAGGGTCCAAGCATTGAATCAGATAATGTGTTGTCAGGAAGCGGGGTAAATGTAAGTACCTTAATAATACATATGATATGGTAGATATCTTCATATGATACTTTATACAGTATACAGTTTTAATTTCAGTGGTTTCTAAATTTGCATGACATGTATATTGTCTTCCTTACAATGACACATAAATTTTGTGAACCTCATAAAGTTCCATCATGTAAAGAAATACTGTACCTTTAGCTGAAAATTATACATACAAATTCATTAGACTGGTTGGCTCTGTCAGTAAATATATTGAAAGTGCCCGCTTTGCCCACGGTTTATTTCCGATAACCATACAGCATATGATAGATGCATACAATCCATACAGCAAATGATAGGTATAGATCTCTATAATTCAGATGCATTACAAGAAAAAAAAGTCTTACAAATAATATGATTAATTTTACAGGTTCTCATATAATCATCTGTTTCACTGAAATAATTAGAAAATGATGTTTTTCTTTAAACTTCTAACCGAGAAGTGGTGTGTGTGTATGTGCATTGGACTTATTTTGATGTCCAACTGCCTGACAGTAACCAGTAACCAGATAAAATGTAAAATAAATATCAAGTAATCATCATACAGTATCTCTCCTTGGATGATTATGATTTATTCTTCAATTTTTTTTAACAGAAGCCAAAAAGTCAGCGCATTGTCCTCTCTGACTCGGAAGACGAGTTTGAAGACCCTGTAAGTTTAGCACAAGTAATAATTGGTTTAAGGAATTCTTAGAGAATATTTATCAATCATATGCAAGAAATTGCTTGAAAAATAACTTTTTTATTTGCACATATCATTTTACACACAATGTACATATAATTTACAGAAATGATTATTCTTTTAGGAAAAGAAATTGAAGACAGAAACCCCTAAAACAAGTACACCTGTTTGTACACCATCCAAAGTGGTAATTTGATAATTTTCTCTTGGATAGGAAGATTACAGTTTTATTTTAACTGCACTATATAAACAAATGTAGATGATATTTGGTGGTTATGAGGTAATGGACAAACAATCAGTATATACATGAATTATTGTAAAATGCATTGTATTTAGCCCTTTAGGCTTTGTCAGATTGTTACAACTGGTGAACTATGCAAGTTTTAATCTATATGAGACTATGAGTTGGCCATTTCAGATTGAATTTTGAATTTCATATTTTACAATAGGTACATGTAGCAGCTATTGACGAAGATCTACCCATGCTTCATTCTCCTTCAAAGGTAACAAAGTGGTTTTTTTTTACAATTATATAAGTCCATATTAAAGTAATGTACAATTGGACAGGTTTTACTTGTGTTTATTTAATTGATGCATTTTATGTTATCCCTATTAAGTTTCCATGGTGCTTAGAAAATTGCAAAAAGAGAGATAATTCTTTTTTTTCAGATAAATTGAAACTTAGAAATATTTAAAAAATTATATTTTATTCACAGATCTGCCACACAAATACTTAATGATATATTCTCACTAACAGATATATATTTACTCCTTTGTTTGCAGAAAGAGAAGAGAACATCCAGCCCTGGACAATCATCAGTAAGATTACAAAACTCACTGAATTTGTTTTGTTTTTAACAATTCCCACCCAACACACTCCCCATAGTTTGAGTCAATTTTCAAGCAAATTTTTTATTCCTTTATTTTTTGGTAAGCTTACAGGGAATAACTGGAAATTTAAAAAGGCCAAGTATAAATTTAATGGGTATGATTTTCAACAGATTTCAACAGGTTTGATTTTCATGTACTCTGACGGTGAAATAAAGTTGCATCCTCTGAAGTGTATTTGTATTTAAAACAAAATTAACATTACTTGTAATGTTCTGTATTACAAACTTTGGTTCTAAGATATTGTTAGGTTTAAAAAAAAAACACCTAAGAATGCCATTTTCAAGTATTGTACATAATCGCTTGTATTTTCAAAATGATAGTAAATGTGTTACCAAAAAATTTGTCAACAAAGCAAAAAAAAAAAAAATCTATTTGTGAAAAGGTTGATCTCTTTACAATACCATTCTGATATACCATTATATACCAGAGTATGCCAAATTGGGGAATTGAAATTTTGAACTTTTATACAATCCTTGGAATAAGCCAGTTGTTTATGTTTTAAAAATAAAATAACATCACTTTGATGACTTTTCACAATAGCTTTCACAATTATATAACATACCATTGATAATGGATCTACAAAATACATTTGCAGATTGAGAAAGACAGTGAAGAGCTGCCAGATATTCCTTTACCTATGACATTAAAGGTACATGTAATGTAATGTAATATAATGTAATTTAATGTAATGTAGTGTAATGTAATGTAATGTACTGTAATGTAATGTAATGTTGATTTACTTGACAATTTTAGGATACAGATGCATCTACATGTACAGATGATGAAGACTGGACATCAAATCTTGAAAATAAGGTATTGATTTCTGAAATTTGCAGGTTAAACATCAAGAGCTTGAATTACATATACATATATCTATTTATTTATTTTTGACACAAAAAAGTCTTTGATGACTAGAAATTGCTACATAGAATAACCAGTGTTAGTGTATTTTTTAAAAACATTCCTTTCCTTCATTTGAGACTTGAATTTCATATATATACCTAATATGTCGTACGATATATAACATAACTTGGGTCAGTTTACATTTTTTCTCACATAGATGAATACTCGACATTCCCTGAAAAAATGTTGAAAAAGTTAAAAAAAATTTTAACCTGAAATGCTACCACATATGGTATGCAGGCTAAATAAGGTAATCAAAACACAGCAATTGTGCTTTTCATAAATTCATGTTTTCAGCCCTGTGGGCATTGTGAAATGCATACCCTTTAAAGTGTATTATGAGCCATGGATTGCAATAAATAATGCAAATTCATTTGTCTCTGGCACTTTACTGTAAGCATGTTTTACTGCAACTGGTCTGTAATGCCCATATGCCTTGGTCTGTCACTCTATGCATACACATCAGGAAAGGGATGATTAATGATTATATACTGAAAATGAATTAATGCTTTGAAATCTGCTCCATGGTATTAATCAAACATTTATGATGAGCAATGGTGCCTCTTTCAAAATTGTGAATTTCAAGGCCTCTGGTTTAAAACATGAACCAAATTCAGTTGTTGGAAAGTTGTTACATGATACTCAGGTGACCTATAAGGCCCGGGATCCTCTTGTTTTTTCTAATATTTATTTGCTTATCTAAAAATTTATGATTTCTTGTGGGTATTTCTTGTATACATTAATGTTTATTCATATATACAGGTGGATGAAGACAATATCCTGAAAGACTTTGAGGAAGTAAGTATCAGTTATTATTTCTCTCTCTCTATGTTTGTGGGACTGTCTGTGTGTCCACAGACAAACACACAAACCACAAAGAAAAATGCAGTGATAGAGCTCCACTTCTGCCCCTGCCTGAGGTTGAACTCTAGATATACATGTAGTTAAAGAATGGAAGGGGGAGGGGGAAGAAGAGTCTCAATAGTTTTTGTTATTTGTTATTTTGTTACATTGATAATTACACTTAAAAGTGCTCTATATTATTGGTAAACAAAATGCTTCTTTTTAGTAATAAACAAGAGAAGGATGTTGTTTTTGGTGTAAAAAATACTTTATAATATTTGGATCAACATTCATTATAAGAATTTTTTTTACTGAAAGGGGGTACATGTAATGATGAGAACTTGTTGTTTGTCAGACTTTGAAATATTGAATTAAGTCAGTTCACAATGCTGAATGATATTTAGACATCTTAAAAATATAGATTACTTTATTTTTGTCCACTGCTTTAATTGAAAGTGGGGAATTTTAATTTTGGTCTGTCTGTTCTTCTGTATGTATTTCTGTCTGTCTGCAACACTTGTTTCAGAGCGATAACAGGAAAAGCTTTTGACCTTTTGCAGTGAAATATTACACAACAACTCCCTAAGGCCTAAGAGAGATCCCTATTTATTTCATGACCGTAGGAAAGAGGGGGTAGTCCCCCCCCCCCTGAATAAATTTGCCACTTGTAGAATACTATAGAGAACATAGCTACTATATGCCTGTGCCCCCTCAATAATAACATCTGATGCCCCGCCTTTTTTTTTAGCTCACCTCGACGAAGTCGAGATGAGCTTATGTTATACCCCCGGTGTCGGCGTTAGCATCGGCGTCCCGGTTAAAGTTTTAAGAGCAAGTCTATTCCCAAGTAACTATAAGCCCTACCTGGACCAAACTTGCATGGATGATGCATCTAGGGATGGACACTGTCACACTTGCTTCGGATGCTGGATCTGATCTACATTTTCCAGATGAGTGACCAGGTTAAAGTTTTTGGAGCAGGTTCATTCCCAAGTAACTATAAGCCATATCTGGATCAACTTGCATGGTTGATGTATCTAGGGACGGGCACTACCAGACTTGCTTCAGATGCTGGATCTGACCTACATTTTCCAAATGAGTAACCATGACAATGTGTTTGGAGTAGCTCTATAATTATATAGGCTGTTATGATTTAACTTACATAGATGGTGCATTCCAGACTTGCTTCAGATGTAGGAAATGAAAGTCTGACATTTTCTTGATTTGTGAAAAGCTTAAAGTTTTTGGAACAGGTCAATTCCCAACGAACTATAAGACCTTCTTACACAGAACTTGCATGAATATTGTTTTCAGGATGCACACTAACTATAAAGAAAATATGATGTGAGATTTGCATAACTTTTACTGATAACATTCGTTGAGGTGAGCTTCGTAATCTTTGATTACCTATGTTTTTTGCTCGTCAAGGAATCTTTGGTAGTTGATAGTGCCCCCCCCCCCCTCCCCCAAACTAAAATTGCTTTCTATGGGCCTGTATTTTTAGGTCAAAAGGGAAAAAATCAAGTCATAAATTCATTAATTCTCTCTGTTTTAACACTTGTTTTCGCATGAAATCTCAAGAAGCCTTTGAGCTTTCTTTTGCAGTGAAATTTTATACCACAAATCCCTATGGACTAAGGAAAACCCCTATTTATTTTAAGGTCAAAGTCAATGCCGTAATTTCATACATTCTGTGTGTGTGTAAAACTTTCATTTCTGGGCGATATCTCAAGAAGCTTTTGCAATGAAATTTATACCATAACTCCCTTTGGCCCTGGCCCTTTTTAAAGTGCCCCCCCCCCCCTCTCCCAATCCACTCATGCTCTTCTCTTTAGCTCACCTGAGCTTGAAAGCACAAGTGAGCTTTTCTGATCACATTTTGTCTGTAGTCCGTCTGTCTCTAAACTACTCGCATTTTCGACTTCTTCTCCAGAACCACTGAGCCAGTTTCAACCAACTTGCCACAGAGCATCCTTGGGTTAAGGGGTTCAAGTTTGTTCAAATGAAGGGCCACGCCCCCTTCCAAGGGGACATAATTAAGATTTATTGAAAAATTAATACCATCTTTTAAAAATCCTTTTTTCAAGAATCACATGGCCAGGAAAGTTGAAACTCCTGTGGAAACATCCTCAGGTAGTGAAGATTCAATTTTGTACAAATTATGACCTCCGGTGGTAGGGCGGGGCCACAATGGACAATCAAAGTTTTACATAGAAAATATATCGGAAAAAAATATTTTACATAGAAATATATAGGAAAAAGTCTTTAAAAATCTTCTTCTCAAGAAAAGCAAAGCCATGATTGGTCATTATGGAAGCATCCTCAGGTAGTGTAGATTTTATCTTATTCAAACCACGATTCCCGGGGGTAGGGTGGGGCCACAATGAGAGATCAAAGTCTTACATAGGAAAATATAAGAATATCTTTTTTTTCTCAAGAACAGAAAAGCTATGTTTAGTCATATTGATATTGAAGCATCCTCAGTTAGTGTAGATTCAAGTTTGTTTAAATGATGGCCCCTGGCATAGGAAGGAGCCACAATGGGGGATCAAATTTTTACAAAGGAATATATGGGAATTCTTTTTTTAAAATCTTCTCAAGTACAACAAAGCCATTTGTTATATTGACATGGAAGCATCATCAGGTAGTTTAAAATTCAAGCCCCCCCCCCCCTCTAATCTTTTCAATACTGGACTGATTTGTGCTTTTGCCTAACCCAATGTCCTTAGGTGAGCGATGTGTCCCATGGGTATCTTGTTTCATTAAGCTGGGACACAGATTATCTGAATTAGCTTGTCTGTTTTGGAATTAGGTACTCTTTTCATTCCTTCCCTCATCATTGTGTTGATAGAAATTAGATTACCAAAATTCCATTTTTACTCAACCATATGAATGCTGTGTAAGCTTGCATGCATGGACATTTATGAGAGCCTTGTGGAGAATGTTTTCTTGTAGTAAAAACTGCTTCAATTGGATTTTATCCTTAATTCTTACAGATGATGCAGAAAAAAAGAGAAAGGCAGTTGGTAAGCATAGTTGTCTAAGTTTTGTATTGCGTATGTGTCTATCAACGTGGAGGGAATTAAAAATGTAAAGTAATTCTTGTTATTAACACAGTTTCCATGCATTTATGCACACAATATGATACTTTATGATATCATATTTCAGACAGAGAGGAACATGCATACTTGTGAAGGCATGATTTAAATTAATACTAAAGTTCATATAAATAATACTGTAGGTTCCTCACATTACAAGAGTACTCAATTTCATGATTCTGCCATTTAAATTTGTTTCAAATCATGAGAACATAAAATTGTGAGCACCAAAGTTTTGTTATATGTGAACATGTAATTTCATATAGTTTACAGATAGCAGAAAACTAATCAAAATAATCCCAAGATTTTAAGATCTATGAGGGGTACTTCTGGCATTTTTATGTTGATAATAATTCCCCACCATGAAATGGGAATCTACAGTACAAGTTACTAACATGCTACACGAAAGAAGCTTGCGTGAGATATCAAGGTGAATCCCCTTATATGTTTAGAAAATTGAAGAATTTCTGAAATGCTTTTATTGTGTTTTGTGTAAATGGCACACAACATTTTACATATGACAGATTTAATCTTTGTATTCTTTGTTTGTCGGAAACTGTTCTTTAAATAAAAACTGTTTAATTCCATTTAGAATTTCTTACATGATATATATATATATATATATATATATATATATATATATATATATATATATATATATATATATATATATATATATATATATATATATATATATATATATATATATATATAATATCCTTGAACAGCACTGACTCTTGTTTACTAAAAAAATTAACTCCCTGCAACACACGTTCTCTACCCCTTTATATATACATTAGGTTGCTCATCAAGAGCAATGCTCTTATCGAGGTCAATTACATAATAAATACATGTATATTGGTTGCTCACAATTTGTACTATCATCCTACTTAACAATTTTACATAAGGCACTAAATGAAATAACTAAAACAAAAAATATTTCAAATATAAAACGATTTTGCAACTATACATGCTGTAGAATTACTGTTCTGGACAAAATTATTTTTATTAGTTTTGTTTATCTAGCTTAAATGAAATATACATATTTGAAATAAACATTAGTTTATTTTTTCAAGTTTGCAGAGAGCACCTTCATCGACTTCCCGACGAAAGAGGATGTCAGAAAAAATCTGTGTGTTGTTTATGAATGTCATGGAGGTCTTGCGATAAATCGACCGTTCAAATATGGTGACACAGTCAAGGTATGTTAATTAGAGGAGGAGTGTATCAAGGAGATACAACTTTGTTAAACACTTAAGAGTAACAAATTTAAAGTAAATTGTATGCAATACATGTAGCTACCATACAAGATGCATGTATTGTAAACATAATTTTTATTTTCATATACATTAAATTAGGTATATGTGCAGGTACTGAAGAACCTAATTTTATGTGTTACTTAAATTGCTCCAAGTATAAATCATATACCCTGTGTGCCAGCATTTCATGTGCTGATTTGAATTAAAATTCAATAACTTGCATGATTTCTTGTACTTTGGTATTTAATTTATATTAAATTAAGCACATGAATAAATACAAGTTATAAACACCTAATTATGTCATTATTATTTCTTAGAGTGTATATAGCTGGATTATACAACAAATGGATCCAGAAATTCTTCCCCCGGTGTTCCATTTAGAGTGCTCATCCCCAACCAGTTGCCAGAACAAAGGATGCCCCCATATATATGAATTGGGCAACAGCTATAAAGTTAAGGTCGAGGAGTTGCCGGATGTCTTATACCTTCGTGAAGGGGTAGGTATTTCATGTACCATCTTTGAAGATGCAAAGAATTGTAATTGCATGGATGTCATAAAGTCAGTCTCTGTATTAAGCAGTTAACTGTAGTTAAAATTAGATTCATTCAATTAGCTAAATTCACTCCAACACCACCAAGAATAATTTCTGAGTAGGCAAAAATTTAATGGCATAAAAAAATGAATACTGAAATATGTCGAAAGAAATACATTGAGAAAAAATTATTTTCACCTTTTCAGTGTTTTGCTGTAAATGATACCTTTACTGGTCTTGGGGATGTCCTGATTTAGCCAGTCAGCAGCATTCAGGAATTTTGTGGCGGCCTTCTTTGCTTTACTTTTTGTAATCATTAGTTTTTTAGTATTGTAACTGGAATTTTTTTCGGGGGCGGTAATGTGGCCACTCCAATTACACTACATTTATATATATGTAAAACATTTATATATATGTAATACTGAAATACTTTTTGTATTCGTTAGTTTTTTTAGTATTGTAACTGGAGTTTTTTTTCGGGGGCGGTAATGTGGCCGCTCCAATTACACAACATTTATATATATGTAATGCTGAAATACTTTTTTTTGTTGTTAGTTTTTTAGTATTATAACTGGAGAGCTTTATCGGGGCGGTAATGTGGCCGCTCCAATTACACTACATTTATATACTAGTATATGTAATACTGAAATACTTTTTGTAATCGTTAGTTTTTTAGTATTGTAACTGGAGTTTTTTTATCGGGGGCGGTAATGTGGCCGCTCCAATTACACTACATTTATTTACTAGTATATGTAATACTGAAATACTTTTTGTAATCGTAAGTTTTTTAGTATTGTAACTGGAGAGTTTTTTTATCGGGGGCGGTAATGTGGCCGCTCCAATTACACTACATTATATACTAGTATATGTAATACTGAAATACTTTTTGTAATCGTTAGTTTTTTAGTATTGTAACTGGAGTTTTTTTATCGGGGGCGGTAATGTGGCCGCTCCAATTACACTACATTTATATACTAGTATATGTAATACTGAAATACTTTTTGTAATCGTTAGTTTTTTAGCATTGTAACTGGAGAGTATTATTGGAGGTAGTTATGTCACAGCTCCAATTTTATCACAATAAACAATTTGATTCAATAAATTCCTTTATGAACAAACATGATTTTGAAAGTGATGATAATATGACTTGTCCACTTTATTTGGTCTCTTACTCTGCAAGTAAAAGCTGCTTTGTGGTATTAATTTCTGCATCCAGCATCTTTACCATAACATGGTTGCTCCTCATGGTCAAAAGGACTACAGTAAAACACTGTTACCTTGAACATGCTTACTGGTTCCATGTACAACAAAATCATGTTTACTTCATTTTCAATCTTGTAAGTGAGATGGCATATGGCAAACTATCATTCTTTACATGAAAACTGTAAAGAATCCCAAAGAGTAGTTTTTTAAGGAGTTTGAAATATTTGCATCACAATTTTTAATTTACCGAGAGAAAGTGTCTGTTAAATTTTTGGGAGCAGGTCCCATATGTATTTTATTACAGGTCTGAACTTCACCAAACTTGCAAGGATTGTGCATCTGGGTATACTTATGCACTAAATATACTTGGATGCTGAATCTCAGATGCTGGATGAAGTAAACGTTTTTGGAATAGGTTAAATTTCTTGGAGCAGACATCCTGTGATGGCCATATCATAGTTATTAACTTATTACTGATAGAATTTCTGCTAAACTTGGACAGTTGATGTATCTTGTGATACTTAAAGGTGCTTGGACACAGATTTGAAGTTAATATTTTCTCAAATTTTCTGCATAATTTCATGGCTTGTATGTTGCTAGAGCATTTCATACTAAAATATAATAAAAATATTATTTCATCTCGAAGTTATTGAAACTTCAAATTTCTGGACGCGTTTGATTGACACATCCTTGCACTTTCACAAATTTAGTTTTAGTCTTAATACTTAAGAAAAGTGGCAATTTTGTTGTGTATTAATGAAAAATATTAAAACTATAATCCAGAAAAATTCAGAGTAGAAATGTTCGAAAGCAAAACCCACTCACAGTATTGTCAGTCCGTGCTCAGTGGTGTGTGCAGACTTTAACAATTGAACACACCCGGTGAATAGTAAACATTAAGAATAACAGAGCTCGTGCCCTGTTTACAAAAACAGTTTACGTTTCACGGGTGTATTCAATTTGTTAAACTCTGTACACAACACTGAGCACGGGCTGACGATATTAGTGAGGGGGTTTGCTTTCCCATATTTCTACTCTGAATTTTCTGGATTATAGATGTAATGTTTTTCATTAATACACAAAAATAGCTTCTTTTCTTAAATATTAAGGATAAAGATAAAATTTGTGAAAGTGCAATGATGTGTTAATCAAACGCGTCCAGGAATTCATAGTTCCAATAATTTCCAGATAAAAGAAGTTTTTAATTTTCGTGTGAAATGCTATTGCAATATATATGTCGTGATATTATACAGAAAATTTGAGAAAATATTAACTTCTAAGCACCTTTAAGAATTGACATATTTGGATGCTGAATCTAAGCCAAAGGTGTCAGATG